CATTACTGTCTCTGTGTGTGTGTGTGTGTGTGTGTGTGTGTGTGTGATTTCATGCTCATATCAAATGGAGTCTTTGAAAGTAGGACAGCTATTATTGGAGCTAAATCTCTCTTGTTTGAGGTTCATGATTCCAGCTGCTGTTCCAGAGTTATTCCACTAGATGGCAATGTGCGCCTACCAAACCCCTCCAAACGACCCTGTGATTCACTCACTGCTTTATTCTGTACAGTAATGTATGAATCTAGACCTGCTTTCAGGGCCACTGCTCTGCTGTAGTGTTAATACACCATACATATACTACAGTGTGAGTATTTTTCAGTAAATGCTGCCTTAACGCCAACTCTCTGTTTACTGTAATGTGTTTGTGTCACAGCTTTGTCCTATCACAGTAAAACAAATGAGCTGCTCAATACATTCATGTTACTGGCAGCACTGTGATGGGAACATTTGGTGCATGACTATGACATTGTGCTGAATTCATGTGACAGATAATAAATGAATCAGATTTTTTTAGGAGTCAAGTTTAATGTATAAGAAATTCCTAAAATCATCATAACAGACCTTTAAAAGTTCCCTTGATGTGATATTGTTTTTAGGCTACGTGTTCAAACCATCACATCTCACATTTATATGGTTCAAAAGGATTTTTATGACTGCAGAAAACTTTCCTCGGACAAGGTCACATCCCCTTCCCGAACCAGTTCTCTGTTAGTCTAAAAAACTACTGATGCAACTTCTGTAAGAACCTCAGATGGCCGCTGCAAGGTGGGAGGAATAATTCATGGTTCTCGAGAAGATAACAGAAGACCGGGGGGGGAGAGAGAGAGAGGGATGGATGGAGAGAATGAGTGAGCGAGAGAGAGAGAGCCAGGCCTGTGTGTTTGTCTGTGGGAGGGGAAGGGGGCTCGTGGAGAGGAAAATCAAACCCACCCAGAGCTCTTCAGACGTCACCGTTCGCATCACAGATGTTCCCACAGACACTCAGTGTGGGTTGTGGGCCGAGGCGTGTGGAGAGCCAATATGGCTTCATTTTGGCTTGTTGTTGGACTGTGTGTGTGTGTGTGTGTGTGTGTGTGTGCATTATAAAATGTAGGCCTGCTGTGTGCGTAAATGGAGACACTGCAGTGATATTTAAAAGTATTCCTTTGAGTAGGAGCTGGAGTCAACAGTAAATGAAATAGCTGTGTGTGATGGAGAAACGTTATTGGTTTCGACTTTGCTGGCACTTCATACATATTCATGAATATTTTATGGAAAATGAAACATTTTTGCTTCTTCAGATCCACAGTCCCGAGATGCTGTTATTGATTCTTATCATAAATAGTTGAAACTGTCGAATGAGGCAGAAAAACAGGCAATGAGCTCAAAAATGTACATCCCCTGAAATATAGGTTTCTTGATAAAAATAAAAATAAAGTCACAGGAAAGGAGAACTTGTGTGGGTGTGCCTGGTTCTGTTTCCACGTCCGTGGCAATACAAAAAATAAAGAGAGGAGTTGTTATTGATGGAAATTAGACTGTTTAAATACGTGTCAGATGAAAAGAAGTTAAAAAAACCTTCCTCTCCAAAACACCTTGAGGTGAGAGTGTGTTCATAACCGCAGCCTTCGCTCCTGGGCTCGTTTGAAGTGGTTTAATGGGTACTGAGAGAGAGAGAGAGACAGAAAGAGATATTTCAGTGCTGTCTTGTTTACTTGTACGTCACAGTCTGCTTTTATACAGGACAGAAATCCCCCTCCGGTTTCCCTGAGACCAGCTTGTGTACAACTTATTTCTCAGCCAACGGTCACAAAATCTGATTAACAAACTCCTTCATTTCGCCATCATTGTTTTGCGCATCTGGGGCCATGAAAACGTTCACTGACCCCTGGCTAATGGCCTAATGACTCATGACCCATCCAGGCAACTTAACGCGGGACTTTCCCCCCTCTCTAAATCCAATCCTTTGAGCCCCATGGTGCGGCACATATCTGGCCTCTGATGAGTCCCACCAGAATGTTGTCTTTGGCAGCGCGCACATCTCCATCCATCCACACAGATGCTCCTGCGCGCTCCTGACGCCCACTCTCACCCACTGCTCTGCCAAGCGGCGTGGCATCTTGCGACGCCCCCGACATTCCTGGAGCCGCTGTCACTTCCCCTCGTGTGCTATCTCTCAATTATACTGACACCTCAAATACGCTTTCACGACTTTTGCGCGCCAGTGGCACCGAACCGACATGTGGATCCCAAACGGATGTGACATTGTGGCTTTATGTGGGATCTTTATTACTAATAACCTTTATGTTACATTGCAGGCTGTGTTTCATGGTGGAAATATGCGTTTATGTCTACTTCCTGGTATCCTCCCGCAACTGAGACAAACTTCTAACCATCTACCTGATAAGAAGGCTGCACTTTGCTCCATTCGTGTAGGGTTCAAGTTCTAAGGTTGCATAAAAAGGAAAGGAAATTCCGCCACCCTCACGACGCTCGCATATCTTATCTATACAATAGAAGGGAGGGATTGCGATTAAACCAGTTTGCGTTACCTGGGCGGGGGTTCCCAGAAATCCTCCCCTGTGACGAAGTATTCACCAACATGCCCGTATATGGACAAGCCCGTGCGTAATTAGGAAAGGCCTACGTACGCAGTCTACGCTCTGTGCGTAAAAACACTGAAACCAGATTGTGCTTGTGTAAGGGCTCCTCGGTGGGAGCCATAGTAACTGTTATGGTTACAGTATGCTAGGAAAGAACCCTCTTTATCTTTCCCACTCCTTCCTGCTGTTTATATGTGAGGCATGTCTTCGAGTATAAGTGATAGAAATATAGAAAACAAACACTCAAGTCATTTCCGTTTCATTTTAAGACACTTTACTTAAATACACATCACAAATAAAAAAAAAAGACAGTGTAAACATTGGACATCATCAGTTTGTCCGGATCAACCGGACAAACAAAATAATTTACACAATGAATAAATGCAGCATTGCATGACAATATCAGTTGCAAAAAGTACAAAGAAATACAATAATCATTCCCATTTTCTACCATTAGTAAACCCGACTTCTGGGCCTGTGTGTTGCTCAGTGTCTGCTCAGTCTGGATGCTGCCCTGGTGTCAAGGGCTGAATGGTCTTTTGAGCGATGTCCAGCATCCGGAAGTACCATTTCAATCAGTCTTTTTCATCCTAAATAGGTTAAAGAGTTGTCTACACATCGCCCTTGGCCCTGCGTTGCTGTCAGTGCTGACAGCACATCAGCCGGTGTCCCAGTGCTGCGCATGCAGAGCATGACTCCAGTGTTATTACTTTTCAGTCCGTTAGTAGTCTCTGTTGTTTAAAATGCCTCCATCTTGCTTGTGAGCATCAGCTGGCAGCCGCTGCTCACATGTGTCAGGACCTTCTGTTTGAGCTGGGCGACCTGATCCCGGAGCACCGATGCCGTGTTGGAGAGCCCCTGGTTGTCGCTCTTCAGACCTTTCACCTTCTCCTCCAGCCGCGCGATGCGCTCCAGCTTGCGCCTCCGGCATTTGGTGGCCGCTAGCCGGTTCCTCAGCCTCTTGCGCTCCGCCTTGATCCTCTCCTGGGTCTCCAGGTCGATCGGGGACATTGGAGGCGAGCCGTCGCTGCTGAGGAGGTCGGGAACGATCTGAGGTTCCTCTTTCAGAGCGACGAGCCGCTGAGGATGGAGTCCGGAGCCGGGGAGAGCGTGCTGGTACGGGTGCGTGCCGTGCGTCGAGGTCTGCGGATGGCTCTGCTGGTGCGGCGGCAGGTAGCTGATGGTGGCTGTGGGGTAACTGGATGCGGAAGAGAGGCTTGTGTTCGGGCAGTAGGCGTTCAGTGTTGTGTAGATGGGAGGCTCGGGCTGCAAGGTGGAGCCGAAGACACTAGAGGCCGCCGCCGAACACGTCGTAACTCCACCGGTTCCGATGGAGACGTTAGGAGGGGGCATCTGGTTCATCTTGTGCAGCTCGTCCAGGGCTTTCACGAAACCCTCGGCGAAGCCCTCCTGCTCATCGGTGATGCTCCGGTTATAGAAGTACTGGCCCGGGGTGGGAGTGGTGATCACACCGTTACTGTTTTGGATGATGAGCCTCTCAAGCTCCGGGGAGGCAAGCTTCAGGGACCCCACGTCTTGCTGCCCCCCTTGGTACAGGTCTGTCTCGGCTCTCAGCTGGGATTTCAGGTTGCGGTAGGGCTCTGTCAAGTTCAAATTCATATTCTGCTTTAGCAGTTTGTAGTCGTGCATTGCTGCATCTGAGTGGCCGTAAGCCGACAGAAAAGAGTCGTCATGATAAAAAGGCTGTTCCATCTTTGTAGACATAAAGTCGTAGGAAAAGTAAGCTTACCAGCTGCTTATAGAAACAGTCTCTGGATAGTCAACAAATGTCAGTGTCAGCAGAGACGCATGCACTCGTCGTCTCTCTCAACAATGTCCCAAAATCAAACTGGAATTCAAATTCACTCCAAAAAACAGAAAGAGTCAAAGTCCAGGGTCCAACAAAAAGTGTTTGCAGCTCAGTGTCAGCTGTTAAAAGTCTCTTCCAGTGTCCGGTTGCTGTTCTCTTCGCAATCCTGGGAAGGAAAAAACTTATCAGAAATTCCTGTTAGTTGATGTGTTGCTCTTGGTGCTTGTTGAGGTGTATTGAGAAGGGCCGATACGTGCCTTTTTATATAGGCATACACACACGCTTGCTGCCAAGGCAGTGCCGCGCTGTGATTGGTCGGGCAGTTCGGTCTCCACCCCCAGTGAGCGCTACGTCATGCCCGACGCTGATGCCGGGAAGAGGCGACTGTAAACAAGCCTGTAGGCAAGAAGAGCGCACAGAGGAGGCAAAGCAGCGGAGACCGGTGTCAGAAATAGAAGAGCCCACTTCATTTATACGGCTTTCTGCGCGTTGAATAAGTGGTTGTTGTGTAAGGGAAGAGGTGAGATTACTCAGTTAGATCAAATCACTGCTCTTAATTCATTCATCCATGCTGTTACATTGTTTAAAAAAAGAAGAAAAAAAAGAAAAGCCTTGGTTTGTTTGAGTTAATGTAATATAACCTGTGATCTTATCATCGGCAACCTGGTGTTGGTTCCCTTAGATATGAATTATAGCCTATATAAAACTACTGTGCTGTTTATTATGATCCATCCTGTGGAGGAAGTCCTCAGGCCTTATATGGGCATGATGACGTGCCAGTTCCTCTCCGGGAGAACCGGGAAGCCACGCCCACTTGGCCCTCATTCCAGCAACAGTCCTGCTCCTGTATAAACCCCATCCACTGGGAGTGAGTTAGGGACTTTCTGGACTCAGCAGGGAGGAGAAGTGAGCAGGCGTGTGTATTTACTCATCAGGGCAGACAGTTTAGGAATTATCCTACACAGTCTATCGACATTTACATTCAAATCTCAGTGTTTAGCCAAGCACCAGAACACCGCTCAGTAACACACAGCAGTGAAGCAGAACACTGATCAGTTTCAAAGCAAGCACTTCCTCCTACAGTATCCTGACAGGTTTGTAAGATACTGCTATTGTTGGGCATGATGCCTGAAGTAGCCCTGCTTTGATCATGAATGGGAAACAGAGGAAACTTTGTCCAAAAAAAAAAAACGAGCCAAACCCAGTCAATTATCTCAAGCAGGAAGATTCACGTTCAGTAATTTTAGCCTTTTGATCTATAATGGTTGTTTCACAAACATTACCTTTCATCTGGTTGAGCTCTACAGGTAGAGGAATTGTGGTTCACTCTGTAAGAGCACAGTATGCAGAGAAAGGAAATGTGATTCCTCAATAGTGCACCTGTTTCAGTTGTGGAGAAGGAAACCTTTGTCTCCTGTTTGTAAGTCTTCCAACGCCCACACAAACACACATGCCTCCCCCAATGTATCCTGTATCCCCGCACAGATAAAAACAAGTCAGGTGGGGATGCTTTGCTTCAGAAGGCGCTACATCCTCCGGCGGTACCTGAGGGATGTATCTCTGATCACGGTCAACAGTCGTTTATACCAGGAAACACATTAATAACAAATGTTTTTGTTTACAGATGTCCACCAGAGACAAGGCCAGACTGCATACCATATAACTGAATAATAAAATATAGAAACAGGCAGAGGATCAGTTGTTCCTAACCTTCCCCACAACTGAGCTCAAGGACCCCCTTCATCAACACCACCATGTTCCCAATATGAATGTGAACAGGATGTTATTTAACACTATTAATTATACAAAAGTGAATATTGTTAAAATAATGTTTTTCATACTATTGAATTTTCAGTGGCTCTCGGAGTGGCAGAAGCTGGATGTTTCAACCATTAATGGATAATAATGCATTACCTTTGGCCAACTGTTACTGTTCATCCTTGATACAAATATGTGGATATATATCAAAAGTTAAAATATAGTGTTAATTATTTGAGCTTTTCATGTACACCATATATTCCCAATATCTGGTCTAGATAACACAATTAAACTCAGCACACTGCCAAATCATAGAAGGATATAGTTGAATAGGTCAAAACAAGTGTAGCCAATGTGCAAACTACATCAACAATAGCCTCATTTTACATATGATCCATGATAAAGAAGATACAAATACAACAGAAATACATGGCAAAAATAGGATATTGTCAAAATTTCATGAGTCATGTTTGGACTCATGTCCGAACAGCTCATGTCTTATTAAGAGGAGCTAAGCCCCCCCGCCCTTGCTTCCCTGTAGTTCACACCGTGAGTGCAGCCCCACTGTTTATTTTATATTGCAATTCTCATCCACAAAATATCACTCAGTGTACAATCCAGCCTGTGCTGGAGAAGGGAGCTGGATCGAGCTTTCAACAGGTTTTCCCTTTGGCAATTAACAGTCAGAACTACCCTGTAACAACATGTACTTGTTGGAAAAAGCACATACAAAGATATTTGCTCTGACCGACCCGGTTATCATGTTTTGGCCTACAGGGAACACTCCTGTTAAGACAGAAGATACTCAACGTCTTTTCCCTTAAAATGTCTGAGTTGATTTGGAAAGTCTGAAATCACCACTTTTAGGGTCTCCATGCCTGGTCATAATGGCCTCATCTCAGGTAATTCCCTGGTATTCGGAACAACTATTTTAATTCTATGCCTTTTTGTCAGTATCCATGGGAATATGAATAAACAGAGGAAAACAACAGTTCCTGGCAGTGTTATGTCTCCACTTTACCACCTCCCTTATAAATTCTATTCTCTGTGCAGCTGCCTGTTTCTGCTGCTGCCCTGCTCTGCTCGGGTTTAAGTTTTTATTCAGCGTTGTGGTCGAGGTTGACCACAGTTCCAGTGACATTTTGGCAAAGCACAACAGTATAGGGTCCAGAGTGGTGAGTGTTTACGGGAACACTCGTGAGGTGGCACCGTGCCATCCTGCCAAATGTTAGTCAAAAACACTCATGTTACCCAACCAGTGGGAGAGAGAATGTGTGAACACTGAGGCAGATGTACGATGTGTTATGGATTCATATATTGTTTTTTTTTTCAATCTCTCTATTAATCACCCCATCAATTTTTTAACACTAGTGCTGTGAATTTTGGGTGGATTTGGCTCCAAACAATGACATGTGGTGATTAGTCGTTATCAGGTTTCAGCTTTTGCGAAAAAAAAAAAAAAAAATGTGGCCGACATCTTAGTCACATCTTGATTAGTCACATCTTTGTTTAGTCTGTTTAGATTTAGAGTTGTTCTGTGCTCTCAAGTACAGAAATTCCTTCCTCTGAGTTCTGCTTTTTTTTCTTCCCTAGTCCTACTTATAGTCAAGAACCGCTCCAGGATTTTGTGTTGATGTTTTGTTGTCTTTTTTTTTTTTTTATGCATATTTTTTGGGCAAACTTTCAAAGAGTTACAGGGCAGGAGGAGCTGCTTGGCAACAGACTCAGTTTTCAGTCGGGATCACATGGATGAGTGCCAAAACCAGCCGAGTGTTACCTGCTCTTGTTCCTGGGTGAGTTTGGGAAAGGCAAGGCCTGAGGGTTGAAGGAAACTAGTTACCGTAAGTGTGTGTGTGTGTGTGTGTGTGTGTGACAGCAAGCACGTATATCACTTAGGGTGGAGTATTCACTAGTGCTAACAACAAGTGTGAACATCTGCATGAAGGGAGGAGATAAGAAAAATAAACATCCACATTAAGTGGAAATGTTTACCAATCGTCTCCCACATATCCACTGATGGAAAATGTATTGAGTTGTGATTAAAGAGGCTTTTTTCTGACCTCCATAATAAATCATGGAGAGTAAACTTTTACCATTTTATGGCTTTATTCCCAGAACAAGTAGGGAACAATGTATGATGTCTAAAAGAGATTAATTTTGAATTTTTTTAATGAAGCAAAGTGATGAACATTTTCCCACCTCAACTGCACAATATCACTAATTCCTACACACAGGGAAATCCCCTTATTCACCCTATACATTCTTCTAACAAAGCAGGCTTTCACAATAAGGTGCTTATGGTGAGGATTGAGCTCTCCACACCTCCTCCTCTCAAACCGTCCCATTGTGCCTCGCCACCTCTGCACAACTCTCCTTTTGTCAGAGCCGGGCAGCAGCCTCCTCGTCGTCTGCTTCTCCACAACGCAGGGCCCCCTTTTCGGCTGGTGCTCCGTCTCTGTGACTCACAGCAGCTCGGGCCGGGCCAGGGGCCAATCAGAGGTCAAAGCCCCGAGCTCGCTCCTCACTTCAGAGTCTTTTCCCTGACCTTCACAACTCCTCCAAACACCCACTCAGCAGAAAAGAGTAGGGGGTAGGCGCAGGGAGAGCGGGTGGGCAAGGGGACAGAGAAAGACGTGCTCAGTCAAATGAGGTTTGTTTGTAAAGTGGCCTCTTGACAGAGTGGCTGACTCCTTCATTTGGACATAATGGGGCCTCTCATCCATAGCGTTGCTGTTCTCCTTTGTGACTGTGGTCACTTTATTGCCAGGTCTATTAATAGAGGGATCCATCATCGTATACATCATCATCATCATCCTCGTCAACATCACATGATGGCCTGATGGTGTTTTCCTCCTCTCCACTTTATTATTCCCAAACAGACGATGTTGATCTATTACCACTTCGCCTGCTGATGTTGCTGACAGCTTCAACCTCATATTTGCGTGCAGATAATCTGAAGACTAAAGTTCATGAGATTTCTAATCGGTCTGATGCATCTGATGCATTCCAAGCCTGACATGCAGCAGGGCATTTAGTGTTGCACGACAGCATCAATATAAGAGCACATTTGCAATCTGCTTTAATATTGTAGAGGAACTGAAACTGTGTTGCAATGAGAGACCCACACCCTAACTGTAGTGGGACTTCTTTTCAAAGAACTAATAGAATAATGAATAACAGAACTAATCATGTTTCATGGGATTTGATTTGGTTTTTACTTCGATCATGAGTGTGTCGAATAGGATTTATTTTCAGCTACACTAGCAGCGCGGCTCAGTGTCAGACTGTGGGTTGGTCTGTTGGTCAGTCGGTCCACTGCTTTGGTACAGATAAACAATATCTGAACAACTACTATCCATTGCCATGAATTTTATACAAATCCATGGTCCCCAGAGGAAGGATTGCAATGAAATCTGGTACATTCATGTCCCCCTCAAGAAAATCACTTAACTTCTCCAGCAACATCATCAGGTCAAAGTTTCAGTTTTTAT